GTCAGCGCTTGAAGCTGTCGTTATGACAATCCACAAAACGAAGAAAACCGGAGCATACCTGAGGACCGCCATTGCACACAATAAATGCTTGATCACTTTTTGATCAGCCTGTTATATATGTGGCATGGGAATTATGATAAATACTAGTATTGAGATTCCAACAAAATGTGGGGACATTACCTTCAAACCTGCCCTTATTAATACAATTCCATATATCTAATAGTGCCTAGGGAATAATGATTAATATTAAGTTCTCATCAACGTTCTGGACTGAAAAAAATAAGTAGAAAAGTCACTTAGAAAACTAGTATATTTGCTGCCAATACAATCACTACATAAAAAGTAATTTTCACTAGATATTTGGTAGATTTATCAGATAACGTAAGTAAATCTAGAATTTCACAAGGTACATGTTTGTATCTTTACACCTGTACGACTCCCTTTTGGTGTATGGTGTATTACTCTTTGAGCGAACACAAATTTTGGGTTTCCCAGAGAAAAACATGGATGCAACCATTCTTTCTAGAATAATGAAGGGTATCAATTTCTAATCCGCAACTCCTCCTATACCACTGAATAAAATTTAATGATTACTTCACAGATATTTTTTATTTTTTGATCTGACAATTATCTGGGGTCTCTCAGAGCAAATCATGCACTTTGCCATTATAATATCCATCCATATTTATAACCATGTGGAAAAGGGCTATCATTTAGTGAGCTCATTGCTCACAGTACCTCTAGTTATTCAAAGACGGTACATACAAGTACAATGTTTTTTTTTCTTTTTCAATATTTTTTCAATATTTTACAATAACTCTATCTTGAAATAATGCCCCTCCAACAATTCCTCTAAATACATTATTGTAACTACATGCAATGATATTAAATTACCTCTTTAAATCAGAAAAGATATAAAATAGAGGTACCAACTGAAAATTTATTTTTGAAAAATGTATAAAACTATCTATAGTGGCAAATTTCTGTATGCATGAAAAATTGTATCAATATGCAAGAAAAATATGTCAACATGCAAAGATAGATATCATTGAAAGAAATACCTAGTTGATTTAACAATTGTATCCCGTAAAGCGTTCGTTGTGATTAGTAATCATTCTGTTTACTGGCTAAGATAGTGAGTAGAAGGTTTGTCGTGGAGCAGATTCGTATAGATTCGTATAGATACCTACCATCCTAGTGAATATTACTTAAACTTCTAGATTTACTAATGTTATCTTGTCAACAAACAATACCTAGAAAAAAAAAATTACTACTTAAAAAGGTAGTGATTGCATAGAAAGTAAAGAGCAAGAGCCACTTTGGGCCTTATTTGGTCCTGAGAATTTCTGAAAAATCAAAACCGCTCAGTTTAGGTTGCAAATGCAGTATTTATCACTTGGAGTGTTGGTGACCACGTATCTATTAATTGTGACGTAATTTCCCACCTAGTCAATGCATAATGACGTCATAAAATGCGTCATTTTCCTCATATCCTGTAAATTCTTTGAAAATGACCTAAAGTTGAAGCATTTTCAATATTTCCTATAGAGCACAACCTCTGATCCAAAATATGGAAATACATCATGAAAGCTATGTTTCTGAAAATCTAAAAACATGTACTATTTTTTGGATCGTGGGCTGTGCTCATATTTTAATTCTTTGCTGAAGGTAGTCAAATACGCATGTTTTCTGCAAATTTCAAGAACATTGCAATTTCTTAAACCTGTTTTCCAATATCTGGATTCTCAAAATTAAAATTTTATTATAGAAAATGAAAGCATCAAGTACCTACTTTATTTTGATATAAGAAATGGGAAAGAGGGTGATAGTTAATTAATTGATATTAGTACAGGGCCGTTTTATGCATAAGATGGCATTTGCTCTTTACTAGTCGTCTAAGTGACTTTAGCGAGTAATTTTTCCAGTGCTATAAAATGCATTTTTACATGCAAAATATCTATTTATAGAATCTGATTTTCATGTCGATAAAACTTACGCCAGAATATGACAACATAAATGTATATGTACAAGTCCTGTAGATATAGATATTATTTATCTAGTAATGCGTGTAAATAAAGAAGACATGCGATTTTTTTTTAATTTCAAAATAAACGTTAACCAGAAGTCTCTGTCGAGACTGTAGCTCTACTGGTTTATACTTAAAACAAAGGAAGAGAAAACAGCTGGGACTTGAAACTTTAAAACAGCAATAAATAGAAAAATGATCCTTGCCGCTCATAAAAAAAACCGATGCACAGAATTATGTATCTTTGTATAGTCTACTAGTGTGCCAAGTTATATTGATATCGGACCAAAACTGTAGGAGGAGTAGCATTTTGAAAGAATTTCACAGAAATTTCTATTTTTAATTAACACGGCAACATCTTTCATCGAAATTAAAAAACTGATGCACAGAATTATGTGTCTCAGTGTAGTCTACTTGTGTGCGAAGTTATATTGAAATCGGACCAAAAACTGTAGGAAGAGTAGCATTTTGAAAAATTGTTAAAAATTAACATGTAAAATTTTACATGTAAGATATTTATGTCAACATGCAAGATCATAAGTAACATGTCACCATACGTACATGTATCTTGCATGTTGACATAATTAACTCGAACATCAACATAATTATCTCACATGTTGATACAAAAATAAGTCAAATGTTTACATAATTATCTCGCATAGTGACAGAAATAATTAGCACATCAACATGATGATGTTGCTTTTTTTAAACGTATGATATCAGAAACTTGGTTTTGTAAGAAAGTTAATCAATGTTAAAATCAGATTATCTAAAAAGATTGGTAATTAGTTTGTTAACATAATTATTTGCGTGGAGACATACCTATATCATGCATACTGACACACTATTGTCTCAAGGTAATATGTTGTTTCTATTTATTTATTCTGATCAGCTTATATTAGTTTAGAAATATGCCCTTCCAAAAAAATCATACTATACCATGGATAACAGTTGCAAAAAGATAGTTCCGATTTCTTTAATACAAAAATATCCTTTAAATATTTTAAATGAAAAAAATACAAACTCAAAAAAATTGGTAAAGACACATTCAAAAATCATTTTTATTATAATCAGTATATATTATTAGGTATGAAATTCTATCTAAACAGATGAAAGTTATTGTAACTTTTTAAACAAAATAATTTGCAGTAAATGTGAGATGAGTAACATTTTCCTTAAAAATTAAGATCGAATATAACATAAATAAATTAATTTATCAGCACAAATGTGAAGAAAATTTAGCCATGACATTTTGAATTAAGGATTATGAATTGGATCAATTTCTTACCCAATCATTGTAAAGCACTGTGGATGTCAAATCAAAACTTGAGTGCAATTATTGTGTACATTCTAAAATTTCGTTTATTCTAGAATGACGCACTTTCGAATTAATTTTTTTCCACACATCTAGTGTTGCCTTATATGAGAAGGTGGCATATTTTGATTGACAAATACAACTATTTACATAACGCTCTCTGAACCATAGCGTTGTGACGCACATTCCCATTTTATAACAAAATTAAGATTATTTTGGTGCACATACAGCAAACAGAAATTGTATTTTAAGGAAGAAATATGCATGGAAAATGAACTGATAAAAATTGTGTGTCTCAAACGAAGTATCATACTATGGCCATATTAAGTTTAATGAACGATACTAAATACCTACCTGTAATTTCTATACAATTAGAATTCACCAGGTAATTAGAAGCATAACCACAGCTGAAAAATGACTTATCTGAACCCAGGTATGTAATCTATATCTGTAACAGTGGCCTTGGAAGCAAATGACGGTAATATGCTTGTGTGCTTATACTGTCCAGAAACTACTGACTGTTGCAATTAGTTCCGCCATGTTTTTTTTTTTAGTATTTCCCAATGCAGTTCGACATTATCTTTAAGAACGTAAAATCATAAAAGAAGTACATTGAGTTTTTTTTCTATTCTCATCAAACCTCCTCGGATTTAGGTCCTACATAAAAAGATTCTGAAATTTGCAAAAATTTGCAACGAAACATGGAAAGAAACGTGAAAATCATTTGTCATTGTATAAGATTTGACATTTTCCTACCATAACTTTTTTTACATCCGTTAATACTGACAAATTAACATTTTTTTCGAATTCAGTTTGTATATTTTTGTATTTCCACATCCTTCCTCTGACATTTAAGAATGCATGATTAACTTCCTTTCAAGCGATGTAACTATTTTTAAAAAAAGATGGATGTGTTAAAATATTTTATTTCTTTTGTGAAGGGAATTATATTTAAAACCTTTTTATACATTGGATCAATCATTTTAATCCAGCTAAGTTTCAATACCGTAAAATTTTAAAATTTAGATATTACCTATCAGTCTATTCTCCTTTATTCAGTAAGTTTCCAAATAGAGAATGAAATATATTTGTTTTCTTTACTTTATATGTAGTTCCTTGAAAAATCCTTTTATGTCTAACACAATTTTTCATAAAATGTATGCACATATTGAACTTCACTTATCAAACATAAAAAAAGGCTCCTTTGTAATTTTTTTTTTTTTATTATTACATGGACTTTTTAATTGACTATATATATAGTTCAACACAGTTTCATTTGATTATTGAACAGGCTTTTTTCTAATGTTTGAACTGTCAGTTTGTTAGGCATGTATATGTTAAGGTAAGTTGAAAATCAGGTTTCTAATTTTTTACAATATAAAAATGAGTGAATAGAAACATAATTTATAAGCACTTCATTTGATTGGATAATTTTTGCTTGCGTCTGAGTTTTCTGCTAAATTCCTTATTTTATAGTTAAATTTTGATAATGTATTGATCAACCTTTGAAAACCAGGTCAAACGTCTCCTCTTGACCTTAAACGATTCAAACAGCCATTCATACTTGTATTATCATAATTTTATGAATATACATTATATCGTTTTTATATTCATTAGACATATACTTTACGAAGAACCGAAACCACAAAACCACAATATCAATAAAATATTCCAACAAAGCTGTGTTTTATTGGACAGCCATCAACTTTAACATTATTGGTCTGCCTATAGCTACCTTACTTTGACGTTCGACCTTACGCAATAGAGTATATATATGGATTAAGCATTTAACATCAGTCATAATCATTCAGAGCTTGAAGTGTTAAGTTGTATTGGATTAAATAGCCGTGTTATATATTGGAATACACATTTTAAGGTATGTTACCTCTTAGAAACTGCATTGTTCTAATCCTTTTATTTAAAAACTTTCAAGATTTTTATTTAGGTCGTGCATAGAATAATTTCAGTTTTTTTTTTCTCTCAGAAATGGAAAATTTTGAATACGATGCCTTTGTGATATACAACCCACAAGGAGAGGACCAGAGGTTTGTCGATCTAATGACTCGTGTTCTCTCGGCACCTCCATACAATCTCAGACTTTACGTACCGTGGACGGATGACGTCGATGATGCTTTTGAAGCTGTGGCTACCGCTGAAAATATAGAGAAAAGGTACTTATTGGAAATGTACCAAACATACTCTATCACCTGCAATAGAAAAGAAAAATCAATATTTTGCCCCAAGTAGACATACTTTAATTAACTGTGCTTTATTTTTTCACAGATGCAAAAAAGTATTGGTGGTTATCTCAGCAGCTTCCGTTGAAAGTGACTTGTTTCAATTTCAACTGAGAATTGCTCACGCAATGTCGCCAAGTAAGCATGTTTTTTTTTCAACGTTATCCATAAATTAATCTGGAAATATGCTTTAAAATAATGAGTGTTGGGAAATCAATGAAAACATCTTAATTTTGAATTCTCATTCTTTAGGTGCCAGAGCTAGGAAAATTATACCTATTCGACTTGATGACACAGAAGTCCCAGAAATGATCCGATTTACCACCCCTTGTGACTATTACAAGAAAGACCTGCGTGTCTATATATGGGACAGAATTTTCGCCTCATTTAAGGATATGTCATGCCTCAAGAAACGAAAGCTTATCAAAACTCATTCAGTTCCTCCAGAGAAAAGACAACTGCCAGATGTGGTGCCCACTTTATCACCTTTACGTCGTGTAAAATCTTGGTGGAGAATGAGAGCAACAGTTGCTTAAGGTAAGCGTACACACAGCTCATTCCTCCATGGCACCTGATCTTACCTTTGATGTTTAAAAGGGCGGTGTTTGCTCTTCTCCTGTTTTGTAATGTTTGATGAACTTTTGAGCTCCAATACTGTTCGTTATCTCCACATGTGTCATTAAGTAACTTTTTTTTTCGTTTTTATGAGCCCTGACGATAATGATTATAATAGTCTTAAATTCTTTTTTTCAGCATTATCTGTGTCTTATAATAAACGGATTGGTTATGCATTCTTTGGAAAAGAGAAGTGAAAGTCCCCCTTTCGATATTGTTGGTTGAGAGCTCGTTGAACTCTTTTCAGGTTGGTGGAATGTAACTTTTTCCTGGCTCTATACTTTATAATTGTTTGATTTAAAATGTTATTTCAATTCATTTTTAAAATTATCGCAAATTTCACTGGTCCTCAAATAAGGTATTTAGAGTATAATAGAATTTACAGTGTGTATTTAGATGGAAACAGCAGACTTTTTCATTTAAAGATTAATAATTCTTAAACTTATTCTTTATTACAGGAACTTTATGGAGCTTATAAAGCACATGTAGCTTGCTTTGACATCCTTTTTCGCACTTGCAAAAGACTTGAATTCTTAACTCTGCACGAAATCCAAGGATTTAATCCCACGATATTACCGAATTAATGTGTTGTATACAGAGAATATTGACAAAGTCTAGAAACCTTGTGGACAATGTTCTTTCAATTAATTTGTGTGTCGACTGGTTTTTATGGACGCCTACTACAAGAAATCAACGTTCAGGAGCCAACAGTTTGATTATGTCACCTTTGAAATCCAATTTGATTTGTGATATTTTTTTTTTACTTTTTCTAAAAAAAGAAACATTTCTTGAAAAGTAGTGTGATATTACTTTACCAAATTAATAAAGATATTTTATGAATTTTGTTTTTTTAAATCACTATATTCCTATATTATACAAATATACTACAAAACTTGAAAATGACCGATTCAAATTTTACTCAATAGTTAAGTAATTTTTTGACTCCTAATTGTGGATATTAATAATTAATATCCGTAGGTGCGTAAAAATAATAAGATCTGACACAGGATTCAAAAATGATCATTATTATTTACCTTTAACTTTTTCCCAATTATAAAATTTATTTTATTTGTTTCTCGACTTTTGGTTCTTGGTACCGCTGTAATAAATATCTAATCATTTTACATGAATTGAGAAACTGTCAAAAAAATTCAAGTATGACACGTCCCTTCAAACTTTTCCGGTTTTTTATGTGTCAGCATGATGTGGTTTCTACTTCCTTGCTTACAAATTGAATAAGTAATCAATTAAAAGGAAAAAAGTTCATCAGATGGTATGTAAATTACACTGTTTAAGAAGTAATACGTTGTTCCAGTTAAGGAAACATTAGGTTAGTATTGATTGGACTAATTTCTTTTCTTTATATTCTTAAATACATATCATCGGTCGTTGATTTAAGAAAAAATGAGAGGAAACCCATAAGAAACCTATTATCTTAAATTTGAAGTGATTTAAGATTATTGAAATATCAAAGCAAAAGGAGAGAGAGCTTTATTCTGATGCGAAAGATTCTGAATTGCTGTGGTCAGAAAAGACGTGTGTGAAAATATTTTGTCATCACAATAAATAAGAGCACTTATTATGATTTTGCATGAATTCTTTCATCCCTGACTGATGTTTCAAATTAGAATCTTCTTTTTCATGCAACACCGAGTTTAGATAATGTTGTTTCAAAAGAGCCTATCAGAGGAAAAGTATAGCCTTTGAGAGACATAATCATTTTGTGAGTTGAAAAGTTTTTGCATTTGTCAGCATAGGCTGTCCACGGTAAATGTGGACTACTTGACAACATAAGTCTCACTCATTAAAAAGTATATGAATATCAATTAACCTTGCCATTTTTGAAACAAATTGCTGCAACTGAGAAATATCAAGAGGAGAAACCTATGATTCAGAATCTAGAATATCGATCGTGGTACTTTATAAATGCAATGCGTTTGTCCCACGAAAAACAAGAATCTAAAAGTTTTCTTTGAAGCAGAAATTCGTCAGTACATTTGATTTTCAGTGTGCAGCCGAGGTACTCATCTCGCAAATTCCATCATATGTCTTTTTGAAAAAAAAAAACGGCTTTTCTTACCCTCTTTATAATCTCAACTAGAAGTAAAACAGTGCTCTTCGCAGGCTAGCCGTCCATGAACCTCTTTTTGTACTGAATTCGGTTAGGGAATGTTCCGAGCATAGATACTATTACTTGATCTATATATAGGGGTAACTACAGGTGTCACTGCTCAACAGCGGATGCTCACTCCTCCTGGGCACTTGATCCCACCCATGAAAAGTTTCATGGGAGGTGTATTTATATCCATTCCAAAGATTTGGTTAGGATTTTGTTTTAGATCGATTGCTGTTTCTTAAATATTTTCACCTAAATTTTTCATTTTGCCAGGTATAAATGAGTGTAGGAAACAACGCTTTCGTCTGTTCATTACTTTTCCACTGCAGACATTGGTCGTTTTCGCTGACCACGGTACAATATTTTAATTTTTGTTCCTAATTATTGTCCTGCGTCGTCAGGTTTGGCAATATCTAACAGAAAGCGGTTATGAATATAACGTCATATATTTACTATTTATCATGTCAAATAAATTAATATTTTACCATTAGTATTCAAGATCATAGAGTTTGTAAATAGAGTGTGTAAATTTTAACAAGTATATTTCCGTATAATCTAGTTATAAACAAAACATTGCTGACAAAGTTATTTTAAAAGGAAAAATTACAGCGTGGCGACCTACATATACGTACATGTTCGGAAGTGAATATAAAGCATTATAAGGCTGTATTTCTTTCTTTTTTTTTTTAGAGTTTTGTAGACAAATTTCTTATTTATAAACTTATTTTGAATAAGAATAGTAACCTAGAGTTAAATAAGTTACATCATCTTAAATAAGATAAAGCAACAGAATATGTCTATATCATGTGTTAAGGGACTCCGACCCTCAGCCAGGAAGGACAAATCTCTAATTTATAACTTAATTCAAAAAGTCTTTAAATGAAGCTTGAAAATTAAATATTTTCATGCAACAATTTTCATTATATGCCTCTCAATGTGCTTCAAGGTTCTTTGCAAAGCTCCATAAATTACTTTTAATTTCATATCATGTTAATAAACATTGGTATCTAAAAATACTTTTTCGGGATATAAATTTCTACTTTTAATTAGACCTTTCTGAGAAGTTCAAAGAACCTTGAAGCATATTGAGAGGCATATAATGAAAATTGTTGCATGAAAATATTTAATTTTCAAGCTTCATTTAAAGACTTTTTGAATTAAATTATAAATTTAAGAGTTGTCCTTCCTGGCTGAGGGTCGGAGTCCCTTAAGTGTCAAATACTTAGTATCTGATTATAGAGATTTAAGAATTTGACAGATTTTTTCGTTATTTTTCGATGGTGACAAGAAGCACATGGCGGGTGTGACCGGAGATACTCACTCCTCCATGGCACCTGATCCCACTTCTGATGTTTTGAAGGTCTGTGTTTGCTCTGCTCTTATTTTTGAATCGTTTTATGGACTTTTGAGCTTGAATGCTGTTCGTTATCTCCATATCCTTCATTTGAAGAGGATAAGGATGTAAACAGATTTTCTCTGACGAGGCTACATTTTTATATTAATCAGATCTTTATAATAAGTTAATTATGTAAAGAAAACGGAAAGTTAACAAGCTCAACAGGACAATGAAACAATACAATTTGTAGCAAAGCAACCATGCATAGGCATATAAAAACATTTTATGTGTTTTTGATGAGAATAAAAGTTTTAAAAAGAAATGAAATACAGCTATCAGTTAATGGTATGAGCTTGGTAACAACTATATGAATCTACCATTGGTATGTATAAGTTGAATAAAATGAGCTGTCTGTCTTTGATACCATTTAGTTGAAGTTTTTAGATTAGTTTCTTGAAGGTGAGTATTTTTCTAAATACTTTACTCATTTACCATACTCGTCTTGGGTTTGTCGAAATGTACTGGCGAAAATGAATAACACTAAAGAAAGAAACCATGCCAAGACGTAAGATAATAAAATATTGCTTATCTTTTAAATAAATTCTTTCTATTTAAAGGAAGATTCTTATATATGTACGGTTTGAAACTTTAAAATTTTGCAGTGGGATGGAACTTTTATGATTCTAGATTCTTTTTAACATAGAAAGCAGTCGAACAGATGGTTGCTTTCATCTTGCGCTATAGAGTCAAAGTCAAAATACAAGTAACAGGAACTGTATTGTGCCCTATGTCTGTTTTTCTGCAATAAGATTCTGCTTATCTCCATATGCTTCATTTCAAAAGAACGTATAATACGACGGCTGCAATTGGAAAGAAGCCATTAAAATTCATACTTGAGATTTATCAGCCTCAGTTTTTAAGGTCTCATCAGAAGGATCCACAACTTTCTCTGCAAAGTGCAGAGTGCTTGGTGAAGAAACAGCTTCTACCTAGTTTTATCGACTTAGGTCAGTCGTGGCAGCCGCGATTCGAACACACAATGTTCCAATCACGCAGAAAGCTCTTTTCACTTTTTGCAAAATATTCCACATCAATTACTCTGGAGAATACAGAATGTATTTTTTTATGTGTCCAAATCCAATTTTTCAAAACAATTTTAAATTTGACGAAAAAAATGCATCAAAATCCAAAAATAATTTAAAATGATAATGGGAAAGAGGTAAAGAACAGCACTTTTTCTCAAAAAAAACTTAAATAATACATTTTGTAAAAAGGGTATAAAACACTGAGCTCTGGATATTTCGTAGTTAAATAAGGTGCCTAGGATAAGTGAGCATCCCCTGTTAACTTATTACATCCGCCATTTCCCATATGAATTGATCAAGGCTACAATCCATAGTCAAAGCTATTGTAAAATAGTGAAAAGACAAATATTGTACTTGTACTGTGGGGGGTTTCTAAAGGTTCACGTTTTCTGGGACAACTACCGTAATTAGCGGTTGCATTAGGTTTATAATTAGGCATTTTTTTCTCTCTTTATATCTCTTTATATATTTGTTGTCAAATTTGATTAATTTGTATGAGGCCGTCCCCCTTTTGCCACTACTTTAAACTGATAAGAATAAACAAAGGTATTTTTAGAAAAAAAAAATATGTGAACGTTCACAAATTCTTCATAAAATTTAACCCTTTAAAATTCATGAGCTTCAAAATTTTCAATTGTAGAAGCTTATTAGTCTACCTAGTACATTGTTTATCAAATCTGCATTCTTTAACTAGCCATTCCAAAAGTAACTATTGGTAAGATAAATGGTTGTTCATTTACGCACATTAATCGTTTTTAGTCCTTAGTTTTTCTGCGTAAGCAGTGTTAACAATATTAAGAATTGCCTTTGACTTCACGCTCTACTTTAGCTACCGAGTTTTTAAATAATCATAAATGTCAAAATTTAAAAGTGTTAATTTATCAAACTCATCCCACAACTCTCCATTCAAGCTCTATTTAGAATTATATGACTGGTTTTTTAACCAAAGAAATTATAGTCTAGTAGAACAAACAAAATTGCAAATTTGAATTTTATCATCAACTGTCAAACAATTATATCAAACTTATCATAGAAACTTCTTTTGTAATAAAACCTAATTACAATCATTTTGTGTCCTTTTAATCTATGTACTTTAAAAGCAAAATTAGAAACTGCCATTACTGCCTTGCCAAAATATATGTTTTAATTTATTTTTTTTTTTTAATGAGCTTATTCTTAGTTAAAAACTTTATAAACAAGGTAAAAAAAAACTGTTAAACTCAAAGTTGCCGAAAGAATCTTTTCAAAGAAAAAAGAGAAGAGAAAGAAGTTTATTCGGTATGCTAAGTAAAGATTCGATCAA